AATCTCATTCCTATCGAAAGTTATTCAGAAAATAACGGAAGGCATTCTATTTTGGTACAGACAGTAGTATAACGTGTTTACCTCTTCAATTTTATAGCAATCAAACTAACACTGATAGCATCGAAATATAACAACATGATACACTGCCAAAATGAATTAAATCGATATATCGACAAGTGTACAACTACAAGCAAAATTCATAATGAGACCAATTTAAAAAACTGGAATCAACATTCAATAAATAGTTTCTATAAATACTGCACAGAAAAACTTGTTCTACCGGATATTAGTTTAACGCATAACACTCAACAAATAGAATTAATCGGCCCCATACAAGGCGTCAAAGAAGCAATGGAGAAATATGAACAAACATCAGAAATACTGAAACAAAAACTTAGGATAACACCACGATCACCAAACGTACCGAATATTTTATGTGAAAAGCAACGATCAAAAGCGTTAGAAAAAGAAACTGCTGCCGCTGCTGATAATTTATATAACATTATGCTGAGCTATTGTGAACAGGATAAAGTTATTTGTTATCAGCTTGCTGATCGTCTAATTGAGGAGGGCTATTTGGTATGGATTGATTACGATCAAACATTGAAAAGGCCAGAATCAAAAATTGATAAAGCAGATGTTGTTCTAATTTACTTTAGCAAAGATTATTTAGAAAGTTTAAAATGTAAAAGAGAATTAAGATCTGCACAGTTAATAAAGAAAGAAATTATAATCGTTACACCAGCGAATAATCTCAACTCTTTCAATAGTGAAAATAATTGGCTTAATTCGATGGAAACAGCGGAATTATATTATGATAAATTTAATACCAGTATCTCTTTTGACTTAGATGGAAATTTTGACTTGAAATATGGGAAATTATTAATTAAATTGGTAGGACAAAATAATGGGCGAGCTTGTTGCCTAATATGTTTCCGTTTTTTTAGCTGCAATATACAAAACCAGGAATAGTTGGCCAAACATATTCACAAACTAAAGCAAACAAAACAGATATTATTGAAGAGATTCCTCAAGTAACTCCATCGGTCACTTCACAACTAACAGCAGTACAGCGACGAGAACAAGAACGAATTTATAGAAAGAAGATGGAAAAAATAAAAAATGCAGAAATGGAATCCAAGAAATATAAAGAAGATTTAGCTCAAGATATAAAAGATATAAAGGATATAATAGATGACGTACAAACGGCAATAAGACTAGACGAAAATATTAAATTGAATGAAGGGTGCAAGGAGGATATGAGACTGTTAATTGACGATATAAGAAATCAACTTGATAATGCGGAACTCAGCATGGACGAAGAAACTAACGATACCCTTCGGGGTATGCAGTTTGAGACACTTTGGAATTGCAACTTTCTCTCCTTATTTTTTTGTAGATGGAAGAAGTGAACTGTCTCAAACATATAACAAAGATATTACCAACAACACACCCGAATCAAGATCTCACTCATTGTCTGACATAACTAGAACATCAGATGGTAAAGTTTAAAAGAATATTTTATTTTGTGCATAGTACACAGGAATAGATAAGCTCAAAAATGCCTACTAGGTGGAATCGACTTTTAGCATCATTTGGAAGAAATGATTTCTCTTTAATTTCTTGAAATTTCTTCATTAGATTTCGACGCGTTGGATAGTCCCTAGTAATACATAAAGTCCTTTTTCTTTGTTTTTTGCAGTTCAAACCTTATGAACTACTGTAGATGGGAATTTTCAGGCTTATAACGAATATATCTTTGAAACTTTATCCACAAAAAGTAAAAAAATTCAGCCAACCGTATGCGAGTACAAAGACTAGGTATGCGCCGAGCTTCGAGTATACCTGAAAACTCGAACCGAGCTACCCGAAAATTTAAAGTCTGTTTTCTTTCTGATGGTTGTTATTCTCAGGCCTCCACATTAAAGAGGATCCCACACTTTTATTCTATTTTGCATGTCAACTTCATTTTACACTTTACGCAAGTAAGCTGAACTT